ACGCTCACCCAATCCTTCCTCAAAAAAATAAAAAGACGCTCCTATTTTTACTTGTACGCCGTGATGATCCCCAGAGGGAAAGCACCCGCTCCGGGCCGTTTGGTTTTCCCGCAGATACGTCGTCCCTCAAGAGAACCCAAAATAAACATGCGGAAAACCACAAGGACAAATTTGGCTGCTTGTGCGGAAAAGCTTGGAGTCTCCGTGATTGCGCTCTCACATACTTCTAAAAAAATGCAAAAGAAGAAAGATATCAGAGAGGTACAGACAGAGAGGAGGGGAACAAATGCAGGAGTGGAGAAAGTTGGGAAAAGATGGAATAAAAGAGAGGAAAAGATGGAGTGATGGAGGATGGGAGGACTTTTAACTAAAGTTTGTAACTCAAGTCCACAATGTAAACACAAATGGGAGTTGCAAGAGAACTAAAAAGACCTGGTCTAATCCAGACAGCACACACAAAACACACTAAATATTGTCCAGCACTTTTCTGTGAGTTAAAAACAATAAATTGGCAGGCTGAGAGTTGCTTGAAAAATGAAGGTGTACCAATGTATTGACCTCCAGGATGAGAGCACACAGTGCAGCTTTGTGCAGCAGAGAGTGGAGACACCGTCAGCTCACCTCAGTCACAGTATTATGCAAAACATTATTTCATGAATCAGAAAAATTGCATTATGAAACACACCCACCCCGTTAAAGTGCAAACCAAAAAAATCAGTCCTTTCAGACTGTTCAATTGTGAAATCCAGTCTAGAAACTATAACTGAACTCTGGACCTAAAGGGTTTCCTTATTGGCTGAAGTGGACACTTAAACAGCAGCAGTTTTTTTTTGCCATTCAGCATTGGCTTCATTTTTCAACACCTGAGGTAACCACTAGATTTCCACTGGAGTTAAAATATGTGCAAGTTTGACAATTCTGCGTCCAAGTCAATAAACATCTCCTTGTTCTCCTGAGGCTCAGCACATCCTGAACATCACATTGCACATAAATCAAATATCTTGGCTTTGGCGAGTAGAAGAAAACTTGTGACATGAAAAGGAAAAGTGTACTATTTAGTCACAAAGCCCAAAATCCATTTCTCAATGGGATAAAGTGTCCCCGAGCAAGCTAAAGCTGAAAGTGACCTCATGTCAGGGGAGCTTTTCCATCATCTGTATTTGGAAAACTGCAAAAAAAAAAAGTCCTTATATGAGACTAAAAATAGGCCCTCCTGCAGTGTGTGTGTTTATGAATTCCTGTTTATACGACCTCTGATCTGCTGTATATATCTGCTTTGGCAGGAAATCAAGCTCATGCTTCACCGCAATGACATACCAGCCGGTCAGGACACCAGGGTTCAATTTGAGCTCAAAATGGAGATCAAACCACAGACAGGAAAAACTCAGCTAACTGAATTTAGATTGTGTGTGAGTCTGAAGATGGAAGAAATCGGCAGGAAAAAAAGAGAAAATGACGAGTTCTGTGTTTGTTGAGTGAAAAAACATGTTTACTGAATGAATCCCTCCATCTGTCGGCTCCACCCAGAGCTTCAACTTCTCTCATGACTTAAGAGCGAAATGGAGTTTTATGCTGGAGGAGGAAAACTTGGACTGTATAAACAGAATAACAACAGTGAAGATAAGCGAGAAATAACATTAGAGTTAAGGCTAAATAAGCCAATCTAGAAACTTTTCTGCAGCAGATTAGACTCTTAAAACATTGTTATATTATCCACTTGATTTAAGCAACTGTAAGTGATATCTTCTTCATGTTTCTACAAACCTTTGATTAAACCAACAATACTTTATTTACACTATGACTGAGATGATCTCATCCTTTCTTGTGGTGATATCTTAAATTCCCCAAGTGGAGAGTGCAGATGGATGCTGGGGTCATGGATGGGCTGGAAATTTGGGTATCACTGATGCACAGCAGGGACTGGAAATCCAGCTGCTAAAATAGAATGCCAAACTGGGAGGATGTATTTGCCATATGGTTGTGGAGTTGATGCATTCAAACCAAACTCCTTCAGAAACCAATGGAAGACAAGACTAGGACCATGTGGCAGCCCGTTCTCCAGAATAGGTGGGACTTACGGTAACAGTCTCTGGCATGGAAATGTGAATAGTCATGTTTGTTTTAGTTGAACAGCTTCTTTAATCTGAAACACCGTTGGTTAACTTCTGGGAAACCGTAAAGGCTCTCTGTGATCGTGGGTTCATGTCTGGGATAAAAAGATGAATCAGAGAGTGAAGATGAAGATCAGCTCCGCTGGAGTGACTCAGCCGACTAAATCTGCAACATGTTTGGTTACTAAAATAACTGTATCAGGGAGGATCAGGTAAAACAACTGTTGTGAATACTCCCCTGTCTGTTTTTATGACTGCAGGTGGACCAGCTAATGAGACTGTCTGGTTTTCTTCACCGACTTTAACTCCCACTGTGATTCACGGACTGACACTACACCCTTGTGTTATGAAATACGGGAGAAAAAATATGTCTAATCTTAAATTGGAAAAATATTTTCGTAATGGTATCATAGATGGTGTAAGCAGGGAACAGGATCAGAGCCCAATAACCAATAAAGGAGTTATGGCTGAAGGTGACCAATATCACAGGAGTGATATGCAAACTCTGGAAGGTCTCCACCCTCTCATTTTGCACTTTTGTTCTGTTTGCACGCTCACAATATCTGAAAATATGTCAGATTAACTACAATCTGAAATTATGGAAGTGAAGTAACTGAAAGATTGAAAAGACAGTTCAAGTTTCCAACAGCAAGTCCAGACTGGTGATCACTCAGTGACTAAGTGCATGGTCAAGACACTGAATATGCTCTTTACATGTTCGATAAGTCAGACTCTGAATAAAAACATGATGCCCGGACTAAAAACACACAACTTTCGTCACACAGACTGGACTCATACAATTTACCTGGCAAGTCAGAAGTATCATGCACTTTGTCTCAAACAGAATCACAATATCTTGAAGCTTTTCAACCACATACCAGCTAAGCACAAAAGGTGCAGCCAACAGCGTCACGAAAGCCAGAAGAGCTTGTTTAGGGGTATGCAAATTACCACAGAAATGTAAATCAAAATACTTAAGAGTAATGTTTTCTAAATGGTTGACAGTGTGTCGACTGTTAACTTCAGGGGGTTACCTGTATATAACCTTGACTATAACCTGCACTTATTTAATCCCCCGACAAAAACACTGGGCTGAATTGCTTTTATTTGTTCATATGAACAATTGTGAAGTACAAATAAATGGGATTTGAACAATTAATTCTGAAAGAAAAAAAATCTAAATTCACAGTATTGTGCAACTTCACACTGAAACAAGTTCCCTTTTAAGTTTCCTTTTTAGAAATCTGAACTAATGGAACAGATTTCTTTCCATTTGCATCTAAATTATTTGTCAGTGGCGTCTCCTGAACTACAAACCTCTCTCAATCATAAACATTTCCTAAAATAAATCAGTAGAGCTAATAACCGCTGTACAATCATATTGGCAGATATTCTGCTTACACCAATAAAACCATATTTCAGTGAGCAATGAACAAAAAAAATCTGCAGCCTAGGAAACTTTGAAACACACATATGACTACAATTTGCTCAGGGAATATCTGGCTGAAGATTCAGACTTAAACACAGATACAAAGAGAAGATCTGCTTGGTAATTTAGGTTTTCATATCCTCTAGAAATACAAGGGGCCAGGAAAAAGAAACAATGGAATAAATAACACCAAAAGAGACTTATTCTCCATCCTTTACACTTTTAAAACCTATGTCAAAAAGAGCTAGCTTTATCAACATCACTGGATCTAAGCAACTAAAAGCACGGGTGCGGTTCAGCCAACTTCAGCTGCCATAACAACACAGTGCTTGGTGACTCTCAATACCTGTCGGATCCTCACTGACTGTAAGTGACACTGTCTCAAGGATGAGCTACAGCTCGTGTATGTTGGTGAGTGTGTGTGTAAAGTGGAAATGATTCATTTATCCAAAACATGCTCAGACAACAACATGCAAAAAAGAGCAACAAAAACACTTACCTCAGTCCTTACTTCTGCAGGAGCTCCACCAAAACTTTCTGGCATATTTTGAACCCTACACCCTTATGAATAAAGTGCTTTATCCAGGGATGAGGGTGACTAAGACAGAGTTCATTCCATGAGCACCAAGAGAAGTCCTTAAGTCAGGATCAGGGACCTGTTTTGACACAAAAAAGACAAGGTTCAGAAGATCACGTGAGGTAAGAGAGTCAGTGGGTGATGCCAGGACAGGGTTCAGGTAAGGATAGGAGAGCAGGGGTTGAACAGGTGTGTAAAGGAGGAGATAAGAGAACTGGTAATGCTGGCTCTAGTGGTAAGGGTCCAAATAAAACTGCATCATCACACATCTGTCAAAAGATTAAATTAACAATAGCTGTGTTTTCATGGGCACAAATAATCAGAATAAATACACGATCGGAATAAAAATGCGTCATGTAAACATGTCGATCTGAAGATTCTGATCCAATTCGGCTTAATTGGAAAGACAATGGCCCTCATTTATCAAGCTTACATGGAGACGAGCGCATATCGGGGCACAGCAATCACCGTACAATAGGAATCACGTGGGATTTATGAAAGCAGTCGTATCTGACCAATCCCAGTGTATGAGTGATTAGGAGTTGATAAATGCGGCGAATCGTTTGGAACTGACCGTCATTACGCATGTCACACCCTTAGATAGTCAAGACCGCGCCCACTGAGGTCAACTTTTTGGAGCTCGAAATTGACACCTTAACTTCTGAAGTGGAGGCGAACAAGGACGTGCTCTTCGGGAGCTTGAAGACTGTAATAAAAGGCGCCCAAAAACGCTGTTTGGTGGAGACACCGACGCATTTGCAACGGAGCCGAAGAATGGTAACCATCAGCCCTAATTTGCTTGCATTGTGAAAAATAAGAGTCAAATTTTTACATTTGCAAATTTTTTTATTGTCCTCAGTTATGATTTCAGAGCACTGCGGCGATGTCTGTGTGCAGTGACGACGGTCCCACTGATCCAGACCCCGAACGGAGACAACTGTCCACCGAGGGCGAGCGAGCACCAGCTTCCTGTACTGCAAGGGCCATCATCACTGCAGAGGTCCTAAAAAGACAAGGAGATTTGAAAGACGGAGACGGAGATTTGTTGTTTACTGGTGGCAGTGGTGACCTCACTTGAGGCAATCAACAAAACCTTAAAGAGAATAAATTTAGTTTACATTTAGTTTATTCAATTTGTCTTATTTTAGCCATTAAATCAGTTAAATAGTCAGCACTTCCTCAACTTTAAGGTCTACCAACATTGTAGAAGCTGTTGATCAGGTCCTGTCTCCTCCGTACAGCGCCTGGTGGAGCATCTCCTTGCCACGGTTCCCTGGGCGTCCTCTCTTTGCGCCGGCACATTCAATGCCACGCCATTCACCAACGCCACGTTGTGCAAAACTGCACAAGCCAAAATGATGTCACACACCTTTTCGGGTGTGTACAGCAATGTTCCCCCTGCTGAAGCAAGACAGAGCCTTCTGCCCTTCAGGAGACCAAAGCAGCGCTCCACAGTGACACTTGTGCGTGTGTGCGCAATGTTGAAACGCCGCTCCTGCTCTGTGGCTGGGTTTGCCAGCGGGGTTACCAGGTACTCTGTCACGGCAAACCTTTGTCACCTTGATAAATAATGACATGGAAATGACAGACAATTTCAGCCTTTGTTTCAATCCTATTGCAGATTTACTCAGGCCACTTACCAAGGAGATGACTCTGACCCTGCAGGGCGCAGTCCCGTAGCCGTGCACCAACACTGCTATTTTGAAATAAGAAAGAATCGTGCGTCCCTCCCGGCCACTTGGCTACCACATTTAGTAATGCCAGCTTGGCATCACAAATCACTTACACATTAACTGAATGGTAATTTTTGCGATTGATGAATGCGTAATCGTTCATGGATGGTGGCTTCAGACGTACATGCGTACAATCAATCGCTCCAATTACATTTGGAAACCCAGCAATCTCATAAAATTGCCTTTTAATCACAGATTGCTGGGCATCATTCAGGGGAACTGGATGTAGTTCCTGGAGAGGGACTTGATGGCGGCCAACATGTCTGGCATCACCCTGCTCATTGTCGGCTGGGAGACCCCAGCTCTGTCTCCAATCTCCCTCTGAAAGGTCCCGGTAGCCAAAACCCCTTTGGTGGTGAGCACCTGCACTGGCGAGGGGTTTGACCGCCTAGTGTTCCTCCTTAAATAGGCGTCTAGATTGTGGCATAAATCCATTAGGACATGCCTTGGAAGCCGAAAGCGACTGATGAGCCACTCATCGCTCTCCATGAGAAGATCCCGCTCCCGTCTCACCTTTGCATACTCTTCTAGTAGAAGCAAATCTGTCATTGTCGAGATCTGACAACTGTCAAAGCTCTTGTTTAAATAGGGGAGAGAATTAACATCAGACCAATCACAATTCATACCACAAATCGATGCGTCACACCACTCAAAACACATAGACTTGGACCTGTTTGTTTTGAGTATTTTATGCTTTTATGCGATCTTGTTTGCAGAATTTTTTTTCTTTTTTTCCTACTTCTCTCCAAAATGAAAATTTGGCTTTTACTATTGCTGCCGTTCAGAAAAAAGGGGGAATTTATTTTTTGGTGCATCGGAGGATGACGCGGCAGGTGTCGGAATCCAGGAACAAAGAAGAAAAAAAAAATAGACCCGTTGATTGATAGAGGTTTGACACCAAAATGTCGCACAATTAAAGATTTTTTTTGCAAATTGTCCAGTGTGCAGGAGCTATGGCTGCCGTGAAAACCAGACCAGTGGAATTTTTTTACGGATACGTAAAAAAAAGGGGCATATGTTAATGCCAAAAATGATCAGTATGACTACTGAATATCTGGCAGTTTATGCTTTTGTTATTGTTTTCACTGCAAATCCACACTAACTGAGATTTGGTTGTAGCGTACGCTCACGTGTAGATTGATAAATGCCGATCCTTACATCGCAACCTACGTATGTAAGGTGTACGTAAGTTTTCTGCCGTACGCAAGCTTGATAAATGAAGGCCATTGTATTCTGATCGAGAGGGGTGGTTTATGTCGATCATTATTCTGAAACGTGTCCAGGTAAATACTTATCCTGATCGTGACTCTCTTACCTGACTCAATCTTCACTCTTTAGCCTTTGGTTTATTTATTGAGGCCAGTTCAGGAGGTTTTATTATTAACACTCTGGCATAAAACACAACCATAGGTGCCATGTCGTGTCTGCTCCTCCGATAACAGAACAAGGCGTACATTTAGCGTAATGATGTCACATCTGCACAGAGCAACCTTTGACAGAACTGTAAAATAAGTATGCAAGGGTGCCATCTAGTGACAACATTTGACAGGGAGAAAACTTCTGAATTGGATGGAGTGAGCCACTACCGCGTTTGTTGGTTTGTTGACAGCACAGGGGTAAATACAACTCTTCTTCTGCGGTTGTTTAAGCGAAATTAGACAATTCTGCGCATGTCCAAACGCTTCTAATCTGAATAAAACTTGGTGCATGTATACACACGTCATGATCGGATCATTTGATTTTGCATCCATATAAACAGTGGATTCAGATTATCCAATCCCTCAAATTATTAATTGGATCAAGAAATTTTGCACATGTAAACATGCATATTGTTAGATGTTGGATACATCAGCCTACATGGTGGTAGACAGGAGTCTATCTTTAAGTTTCATACTGACTCAAGGTGGAATAAAAGTTGAGGTTAGGATAAGCTAAGGGTGACTTTATTAAAAAAAAAAGTTTCCTGGAGTTCCACCTGTTGGTTTCAGGGAAAGACAAAAGAGATTTCTTCTTGTGAGTGGACTCGCATTTTGTTCACCACTCTCATTCAGACATCTCCACCTGCTGCTATGAGAGCCTTCTTGTGTTACGCTGGTTATTTTGACTTTTTCCTCCTGCCGTGCTGTGGTTCTCACTGAGTTTGTTTGGCCCTTTTCTTAAGTGTCAGATTTATTTAAACCAAGTGGCGAGTCTTTTTGGTTCCATTGTTATTTGAGGAGAGAGACGAGGAGGAGGAGGGGGAAGAAGAAGAGGAGGAGGAGGAGGAGGAGGAGAAGGAGGAGGAGGAGTGTCTGGGGTTTGGTCATGGTCCCTTGTGGTAATATTTAATAACAAACATTAAAAATACCACAGAAATCCCTCACCACATTCCCACGCTCCCACTGGCCAGAGCACACACACGTTTATATATGCATGCAACCACACACTCACTCACACACACACACAAATGTATGCAGTTTACATACCGATGGATCTCTATATCTGTCTGACTTGCACGAATGCTGCACACACAATCACGCACATGCATTTATGCACAGACTGTAGCAAAAATTAAACTACAAAGCATGAATGTACACACACATTCATTTACTTGCATGCTTCTGCACGTGTGTTGCACAAGATGTTGTACAAATCAGTAAATGTAAACAACATAAAACAGTGTGTGTGAGGTTTTAAAGTGGAAAGCTGCACAATAGAAACTGTCAAACACAACTACACAAACAGACAAAACATAAACCAGTCAATGTACTGGCTGCTGTCTGAATGCATGTTCACACAAACACACAAAGAAGAAGGGGAGAGGGAGAAGAGAGTGGTGACAGAAGGAAAGGAGGAAGAGAAACCAACACTCCTTTTTGAAATCATGTCATCGAAGAGGAAAAGTGTGTGTGTTTGTGTGTGTGTGTGTGTGTGTGTGTGTAAAGGAGAGAGGTTTGGGTTCACCGCTCAGATCCCTTGTCCCTCTTGGTTTTCACGGTCATAACCCAATAGATGATCATCACCTATTAAACTTCTATTTACTCTTATTATTATTATTTTTACCCTACTGTGTGTGTGTGTATGTGTGTGTGTGTGTGTGTGTGTGTGTGTGTGTGTGTATATGTGTATATACAGAGTGTTTGTGTGGGTGTGTGTGTTCATCATGTCGCCAGTGGCTTTCTGACCTCGTCTCGAGGTTTGGTGATCCCTGCCAGAGATTCCTTTCCATCCCTCCCTCCCCTCCGTGTTTCACATGTGCGTCAGCAGTGTAACCGCAACCTCGCTCGTCCTTTCTCTCTCTCTCCGTAACCCCATGATCCTCTGTGTTTTTAGCACCCCACCCTTCTCAGCCTCTTTTCATTTTACTGTACAATTCCACTCTTCATTTCAGTCCTCGCTGTCATCTGCCTCCCCTTTATTTCCCTCCGTCCGTCTTGGTTTCTTTCTCCCTCTCTTCTGTTAAAGCAGAACCTCTTATTTCTCCTCTTTGGTCTCAAAAAAAATGTAAAACAGGTCAGAAAACAACCTGCAGTCCAAGAGGTCCGCCTTCCAGAAAGTTCAGGACAGTAGCCTCTATATGAGGAGGGGTTTTGTGGTGCATTTGACATCACAAAAGTTGGATGTTGGAGCTGGATAAATCTCTTACCGATTAAAGAGTGATATTAAGTTAAATTCACTTGCAAAACAAGTAGCCTTTATGCTCACAGATCAAGACCGAATGGCACTAGTGTCAAAATGCAAAGCTAACAGCTCTTAGCACAAAAGCAGCCCTGAGAAAATACTGTCTCAGGCATTATCAACACTTTAGTTCTGACTCACCGAGGGCTGAAGTTCACATGGCATCCATCGCCCGATTAACTGGAAAGACATGCAAATACACAGTGTTGTTGTGTATCCCAGATTCTGTAAAATGCTCTAAACTTAAGAGCCAAGATACGACATAGAAAGCTGCCCACGCTTTATAAAACAATCCATATCTGCATCAAAAAAGATGAGGATAGATGTAAACTGTCTTTTACCTAAAAGCTCTTCAGCTGCCTGCTGTTGGGTTTTATACTGCAGGGTTAATGAGTGGATGAGCTGCAGGTGTGAAGCTGGAGACAGGTGAAACAGGTTAATGGTAATCAGGAGGAAGGCCATGCCGGCATACACACACACTCACACAGATACACATAGGAAGGGGGAACACTAGGGGGCACTGGGAAACTGAGGCTGAAAGCTCGGCCTGTGACAGATGTGCAATCCAGAGTTTGACAAGAAGTGTGTAATGATACAACATGATCTATCTACAGCCAGACATAAAAGCAGAATTTAAAATTAATGGCAGTACCCTGCCTAACAGATAGCCACACCATATCGCATCTTTCAGAATCAAATTGCATCAAATTGTATTTTATTTATTCATGTATTTAAGACTCCCTATAGTAACTACTGCAATAATAACTTTTCTTCCTGGGGTCCGTTTCTTATCATATCGTATCGTATTTTATTGTATTGTATTGTATCATACCAAGCCGTATTGTATTGTACTGCAAAGTACTGTACTGTATTATATTATATTATACCACACCATTCGTACCATGCCATTGTTTTGTATACTGTCCTATCCCATAGTGCCTCAAACCTCAATTTCTGGCTTTTAAAAAGTTGAGGCTGTTTAAATACTCTTAAATTCATGTACTGAGGACATGGTGGTTACTTCAACTTCTCACACACAGCCTAAAAGAAGTTGAAAGAAATTTCTTCCTTGCCAATAAGTTCATGTAGCATATAAAAGAGAAAAAAAGAAAGTTAATATAATCTGGTGAATATACTGTTCACACTTAATCACAACATCCCTGCAGAAATGAGCAGTTTAATTCATGTCTTTTAACCACTTAGAGCTCAAGTATTTGATGTTTTCAAGTGGATGTGTCACCTGGCTCTGCAAACTTCATCCACACAGAGCATCTTAGCATTGTTAAACTCTTTCTAATATACAGTAACTGTGTTTAAAACCCTGACTTAAAATGAGATTATTTTCAGCTAAAAAAAAGTGAAGAAAAAAGACCCAGGTTTTATGGTCATGGAGTCAAAGCCTAAGAATATTTAACCCAAGAGATGGAAGTGACAAAAATGTATATCAAGAAATCACATAAACTAACCTTCAGAAGATATCTAGAAACAACACTGCACATGGGAGATTTTGAGAGTTTTTGTGAAAAAAAAAACAACTTTTTTAGAAGCAAATCCATGATAAGCCCCAAGAAATTGGGGGTGGGGCTTACAAGAAGCTCTGATGGGAGGGTCTTATTTGATTAGTTGTTCTCATAGACTGTCTATAGAATGGACGCCGTCTGCCTCCTCGCGGGGTGAAGCCACTCCGAGAACAGCACCCTCTGTTGATGGGCTGCAGTATAGGTCATCAATCCCGCCTCCACCAGCAAAGCTTGTGAGACTGTGGACCAACTTTAGAAATTTATTACACAGAACATAAATTTTTCTTCCCCCTGCTTGTGATATTGACATTTAGTTATTGTAAGACTGGTTTGTGCTCAAGTCCTCTTTTTTCTGTGAAGCTCCGTTTTTAA